TTCATTGAGGCCCAGTTCAAAAGTCAACCCTTCCTCATAACTTCCCCAAGGTAGGTGTGACCTACACTCTCCCTGAATGCTTTTTTAGGCCTTGGCTTATCCTGCCTCTTATTACAGCATACTTGGCCAGCATACTATGTAAGGCCAGGACTTATTTTCTTCTGTGTCTTCCATCCAGAAAGGTATTTTTTAGACATAGCCAAGTGGGGAGTTAGCTTTTGTTTGTTTGTAATGTGACTGTGACTTAGACCTCATGACATTTTTCTGAGATTTAAGAGCCCTGGTGTGAAGTTGCCCATCACACAACTCTAGATGAGGCCCTCGGTGACTCTGGGCCTGGTTTGTGTCATCTCTGAGGAAGTTTTCTAGCTCTTAGTCAAATACAGTCTCAGCAGGAAAACAGAAAAAGTGGATTTAGAGAACATCTCCATTATGGATTCAGAAAACAAATCACCATCACGACAGTGGAAGGACTGGTGAGGGAATTGGGCATCTTTAGCCTGGTAGAGAATACCTCAGAAAGACTTGGGCTCATTAAATGCTAGAATTGGAAAGCAACTTAGAGACCTCTGAGGCTCCGATGTCCTGCAAAGCTCTTTCTTCATTTGTAGTTCTGATTGATAGAAAAGGAAATTCTTATTAATTCATTTCACATTCTCAACTGAGAATGACATTATAGCTCAGAATTTCAAATTTGATTTCTTTTCTCGTATTTCAAATTCAAATGTGCTGCTGTGTGTTTAACAAAAGCATAGTTTACACTTGATCTCAGCCAAAAGGCCGAGAAGCGATAACAAGATCATAGTTTAAAAATATTGCTTATTCTGTTGTTCAGTGTTCCTCATCCACAAATTCATCAAACAAAATCCAGATAAACTTGGGTACCACTTTTTTTCTTTTTTAAGTTAGGTATCATGCCCATTGCGGAGCCCAATGAGGTTGAGACCTGAGCAGAGATCAAGAGTTGGATGCTTAACCTATACTGAGCCACCCAGGTACCCTTTGGTACCACTTTTTTACTGGAAAATTGCCTTTTTTGCCTTGTTGGCTGGGGAACTTAGAGCCAAACATGTTCCTTATCAGAAATAAGTGACTCAAGCCAGGTGCTTGGTAAATCCATTTCCCCACTTGCTTTCTTTTTTTTTTTTTTTTTTTTCCCTTAAGCATCCAGAGGAGGGCCTGATCATATTAGATGCTCAAAAATGCTTGTTTACTTAATGGATGTCCTTAAGAATACAATATTGTATCATCTTTAAAAATACTAGTTTTGGGGCGCCTGGGTGGCTCAGTCGGTTAAGCCTTCAACTTGGGCTCAGGTCATGATCTTGTGTGTTTGTGAGTTTGAGCCCCACGTCGGGCTCTATACCGACAGCTTGGAGCCTGGAGCCTGTTTCTGATTCTGTGTCTCCCAATCTCTCTGCTCCTCCCCTGTTCACGCTCTGTCTCTCTCTCTCTCTCTCTCTCTCTCTCTCTCTCTCTCTCTGTCTCTCTCAAAAATAACTACACATTAAAATTTTTTTTAAATATTAGTTTTGATGAATCGTCAATGAGATGGGAAATATTAATGATACAATTTCAAGTGACAACTAAAGTTGCCGAATTGTATGTACACAGCATGTTTCCATCTCTGTGAAACCTGTTTTTTGTTTACTTATTACACAGTATTATACAGTATCACAGTGGTATGAAGAGTGGTTCTGAGTTATATTAAATGTGATTGTTTTCCTTTTTTAGATTTTATGTTTTACAAAAATTCTATGATAAGCTTATATTAATTAAATAGTTAGTGAAATGAATGCATATGAACAGTTTAAAATCTCATATGTTTACAATAACATATTAAAAAAAATAATCCTTTTCCTGTTCTCTCCTTTTCTGGCTCTCCAAAGTAAAGAAATAGTAAATCTAAGTAGCCCTCTATGTGGTACATAGCGGAGCTAAAAGGGTCGTAGAAAAACAATCAGATAAAAAAGTATTTCCACCAGGAAGGAAACCATAGAAAAAGCTTATAGGAAAGGAGGGGGTAGTTCTCTGTGGACACTATTTGTACAATGGTGTAAAATTAACTATTATTTACCTCAAAAATGTGATATCAATAAATTAGGAGGGGTGGAAGGATAAGTGAGAGCTATTGAAAACCAATAGGCAATTCCTGAAATGTAAAAAAAAAAAAGTAATCAATAAACAGCAAGAAGAAGCAATTATTTAGAAATGTGTTATAAAAGAAAAAGAAAGAGTTTAAATATTTGAAAGCAGCTTCTTTTTTTTTTTTTTTTTTTTAAATGTTTATTTATTTTTTTGGGACAGAGAGAGACAGAGCATGAACGGGGGAGGGGCAGAGAGAGAGGGAGACACAGAATCAGAAACAGGCTCCAGGCTCTGAGCCATCAGCCCAGAGCCCGACGTGGGGCTCGAACTCACGGAGTGCGAGATCGTGACCTGGCTGAAGTCGGACGCTCAACCGACTGCGCCACCCAGGCGCCCCAAAAGCAGCTTCTTTTTATAGTGACTTACGTTTTTGAAAGTTAAAGTTGTAAAAGGAACATGTGCCTTTGGTTAAAAACCAAAGCAGACAGTGCCATTCCTGGCGTGCGGTGGCCACTGCTGGCATTCTTGTTGACTTGGATTCCACACTTAGTTTGTTGTTCCTTAGCTTGTGTTATATGTATTTTAATATTGTAAGGTATCGGAAATTCATCTTGGAAGTACACTGGCTTATTGGTTTTATTTCAATCTCAGATGTTTAAAAAATTACCAATAATTGGATTCCTGACATCCAGAAAACATGTCTCTTATATCAGCTTTATCATATGTACTCCACTTCTTAACTGCCGTTGGCACAGGTCAGGGTGGTTCTGTGGGGTGCTCAGATATATATTGGATTGTCCCTGGATTGTAACCAGTAAGCTCTCCCTTCCAGCGTTCTACAACCTCATCCTAATCTCTCCAAATTCATTTTTTTTAATGTTTATTTTTTTCATTTTTGAGAGAGAACACAAGTGGGGGAGGGGCAGAGAGAGGGCGACAGAGGATCTGAAGTAGGCTCTGTGCTGTCAGCGCAGGGCCCTATGTGGGGCTTGAACTCATGCACCTTGAGATCATGACCTGAGCCGAAGTTGGACGCTTAACCGACTGAGCCACCCAGGTGCCCCTCTCCTAATTCATTTTAACATCTTTCCTTCTTCCCCCACCAAAACTAATTTGTGCTTAATCCAAGTTCTGTTCTTTTCCTCACTACATTTGTTTTCACCTGTGAAGCCCAGAATGACATCTAGTGTTACTCATTGCCACTTAGAATAAGGTCTTCCCCATGCATGTGTCTGTAGGAACATCTGACAGAATGCCTTCCTTGCTTTAGGAAACTCAGTTTCGAATGCAGTGCAAATGCGTTCAGATTCGATCCTGTCCCACAGAGCTGGGAAAGAACCTCTTGGGCAGAGTGCCTCCTTAATTGGCTGGCCTCAGCCCCTCTCCATATTGCTTCACATGCATAAATTGAGGGAGGTAAAGGGCTCTGTGTCAGAGTTTGAGTATTTTCATTTTCAGATAATCTGATACTGATGTCTTAAGAATTCTGTTTCACAGAGTTTAAAAAGTAGATGGGTATTTCACTCTGCACAGTTTTAGTACATTCTGTATTTCATTTGGGCCTGCATGTGGGGAAATAGTGTGTTTTACTTTGCAGCTTCCAGGTGAGCCACAGACCACCACACCGCAGGTAGAAGTCTAAATCTTGGAACTAATTCTGGGAAATCCTCTGGGCTGTGTGTACAAGTAAGGTGTTAAAGAGAATATAAAAAAGAGAGCCTAGGTTGCAAGTAGAAAAATACAAACTTCTCACTGAAATCACCCATCCATAGTGACTCTACAAGGAGAGATCCAGTGGATGAGAAAAGTAGACACTTTCAAACACAGGTGAGTTTATTGAGCAGGGAGCTCAGGTGTGAAGTGTCACCTTCACCAGAGCCAAAGTCAGCAGTGGATCCTGAAGGATTTGCGCTTGTAGTTTTGGTTCAAATTTGCCTTCAAAATCCACCCCACTCTGCGATTATCCAATTACATGTGAGGGTGGATTAATGTGCCTAAAGCTCTTTTGATGTGTCACTTCCCTACTCTGAAACCTTCAGGGGCCACTGGATTGGGTAATATTCAAGGCCTTCCAAAATTGGCCCCAGACATTTGTTTCCAACCTCATTTCCTAGGACTTCCAGCTGCAGCCATGCTGGGCTCCTCCTTTTCCTCAAGCCTGGATGGTATAGCTCCCTTCCCACCTTTTCCCACCTTTTCCCACCTTTCCTGTTATCACTTTACTGTGTATGTCCTGCCAGAGGACCTGGCCTCCATCTTAGGTTAGTTAGGTGTGGGATGTAGGTCACATTATTCTTCCTCCCTGAGCCTCCATCCCCCCTCCCCCCATGTAAGAGCAAAAGACTGAACTAGGAGGCTTCTTGGTGGGGTCCTTTTGAACTTTACCATTCTGTGGGTGAGCATCAGCCTTAGATTTTTTCCTTAGTGGCCCCAGGACACAGGGCCCTTTTCTGTGTCCCTGCAGCATTTACCATTTGTTGTTTGAGATGGTTGTTAACATGTTTACGTCCTGCTTTCAACCACTTTTTGAAGAGATATTTGTAAACTGAGAGAGCCCTTTGGTAGGCTAACTCGTTTCCCTAGGATGTGGGTGAGGGAGAGGACCACTGAGTGTGTTCTACTTTGGACTTGCACCTTGTATCTGGAAGCTTCGAGGAGATGGGACTCATGAAAGATTTTCTTATTCCCCTTCTTGGGAGAGTGGGATGTCTCTTTGAGAAGAGGCACATATCTATAACATCAAGATGGAAAAGAGGATGCAGACTCCTGGAGAATTCCCTTTGGTCTTCTCTGAGGCTGCTGGGTCTGCACTCATTCTTTGGGGTGTTCTTCCTCCACAATCCTTTCAAGACTGCCAGGTTCCTGGCATTTTGGGGTAGGATGGTAACTTCATCTTTCGCTGTGTGTTTCAGGGCCCTATTTGATTACGATCGAACTCGGGACAGCTGCCTGCCAAGCCAGGGGCTCAGCTTCTCCTATGGTGACATTCTGCATGTCATCAATGCCTCTGATGATGAGTGGTGGCAGGCGAGACTGGTGACCCCACATGGAGAAAGCGAGCAAATCGGTGTGATCCCCAGTAAGAAGAGGTGAGTTGTCATGATCATGAGGCCTTCCCTGCCTTCTTCTTGGTATTGATTTCTTTTTTTTTTCCCTATTCTACTGTAAGTAAGTTGCTTGAGAGCAATGGATGTGCTCTATTATTCCTTTTTAGTAGAGAGTTTGTGCTCAGGATGTGGTTGTGACTCGGTGAGCCAAAAAGTGGCTTCTGAGACCATGCACTGGCAGTAAGTAACAGGACTTCTTTCTGACTCCAAAACAGGGTGGAAAAGAAAGAAAGAGCTCGATTGAAAACTGTGAAGTTCCATGCCAGGACAGGGATGATTGAGTCTAACAGGGTAAGTGGGGATCCCCAAGGAAGTGCAGCCAACATGTGAAGAGGAGTAAGAAGCTTGGAGTCTGTCCGGTGGATAAGAGAACTGGGGAGCACAACAGAATATCTCTCTTTCAGCGGGCTGGCTCTGTCCTATCAGAATACTGACTGCTTTTCAGAAAGCAGAGCGAGGGCACTCAAACTCTGTGTCCAGTGTATACTCCCTCCCCCTGGGTTACTGGCTCTTGAATATGTGTTGGAGTTGGACTGTCTGGAAGGCTGACTTGTTTGGAACACAAAAAACCACCTGTGGGTATCTCCCCGGCTGCAGACCCTGTCGGAGCTGTGGGGACCCCTAACAGAAGCTGGCCTTGTTGTCCAGCGAGGAAGGTCAGCCTCAGAGCTCCGACCAACCCCTCAGACGAATGAGGCATGAGGGCTCAGTCATTCACCCCTTTTCTTCTGTGAGATGCACAGGCGAAAGAACTTCTGGAGCAGTAGGAGGGAAAAGAGACACGGAGTAGATGCCTCTGTGTGAATGTATCAGTGGCTCCTTAGGGCATGTGTCCAGGAGGCTACCATGATGTTTGTCCTTTAGAAAGTTCCAGTGAGTGCTGTGAGTCTGGATTAAGTAGAAACCTCTAACATCCCTACAACATTTTCCTGTAAACATAATTTTCCTCTTACATCAACTTTTCATTTAATCTCATAGACTCCATTTGTGAGAGATGGTCTTTTATTTAGCTCACCATTGTCTCCATTTTAGTTTTTCTTGCATGCTTTAAAATCCATTGTTCTGTTTTTTTTTCTTCTGTCCTTCCCCTCCATCTTCATGTTCTTTCACAGTCGATCAAAACGAAACGTAAAAAGAGTTTCCGCCTCTCTCGAAAGTTTCCATTTTACAAGAGCAAAGAAAACATGGCCCAGGAGAGCAGCATACAGGAACGTAAGTAGCAGCAGGGTACAGAGAGCAGACTGCCCACAGCCCCGCCCTCTCTTCCTCATTTGCACCTCCCCCTATGAGAAGACAGCGAGAGAGAGTGTGTGTGTGTGTGTACATGTGTGTGTGTGTGTGTGTACATGTGTGTGTGTGTGCACACGTGCACACACACGTGACTGTCCATCCATCCATGTGTGCATGCGTGTGCGGGCATACTCTCTCATTTGCAGAGTCAGCGTAGAAATTGGTGTGCAGAGTGAGACACTGGGTCTCTCATCCAGCTGCTCACTCTGAAAGAATGTTGGAGGCTCTAAGGAAGAAATGGTTCCAAGCCTGCCCTAGCAGGAAGTCCCTGGCACTGGTGTTGGGGGTGCCAGGCTGAGCTCTGCCACGGTGGTGATGAGCAATATTCAGCTATAGTGTCAGGTTTGGAAGAATGTTTTTTAAGAGAACCAGGTCTAGGGACACAGTGTTGCTCCCCTGGCTTCTTCCTCTTGTGTTTTCTTTCCCTGAACTTCACTCTTCTATGTTAAGAGAAGAGCTCTCTCTTCCCTAGACACCTGGAGTGGGACCTGCTTCCTGAATTACATGCATGCGCATATGCACCCAGGGTGTCCACACGGCTCCAACAGACTCAGTGTCATCCCAGAATGATCACAGAGCCAGCCTTCAAAATAAATTCCTTCCTGCTCACAGGAATTGACATGGAAGGGGGATTACTTGACATTGTCTAAGTAAAGATTTATTGCAAAACAATAAACAGTAGAAAAGGCCATAACTGAGCTATATAAACTTTTAAGAACCAATTTAATCCTGAGAAGTACTCATGTTCTGCCATATGCCTTGGAAACTAACTGTTCTGACCCTAACCATAAACACCAGGTCACGCTGGTGAAATATTTCTCATATGGCTCATGGTGAATTGTAAACGTCTCCCCTGCTGCCCCGCAAGGAGGGGCTCTGGGGTCCTGGGCTGTGGGGACTGGCAGGAGATGGACTAGTTCCAGTTGGGAAGGTCCTTTGTCTAGGCCAGCCTGATTCACAGTCATGGTCTACGTAGGTCATTGCCACCTGGACTGGTAGCTACTAGATCCAAGGGTGCCCTCATCCAAATGGAGGTTAAGTCTCATAATCCTGGCCAGTTCAGTAAGAAGCACTAGGTGCAGTTAGTTCTGCTTGTGAGCAGTAGGAGGCGGTCTGAAGTGAGATCAGTTCACTTCAGTTCACTGGATCAGCCTCAGAACCTCCATGCCAGACCCAGCCTGGGGAGGGTTTGCTGTTGGGTTGCCCAGCTAAGGGTTGGGGTGAGAGTTGAAACTGCCTAGCACTTATTGTCTAGAAGCTGGGCTCATCCCCTGTGGTCTGTGCAACTCAGGTCAGTGTTGAAGGCCATATCTCACACTGCATGAAGCTTTCCTTGAAGGGTTTGGACAGAGTGAGTCAGTATTGGGCAAAAAGCTCCTTGGGATGATGATAATTCTGCTTGCTCTTTTGTGCACCCTCGGAGGGAAATGGTGATTTCAGGGGCAGAGCAGAGACCTGGGTTCTGTAGCTACAAATTTAGTCAAACCAGGTACTCTAAGCCTTGGAAAGTCACCAGGCCGGTCCTGTTGGGCTGTAGACTATAGATCACTTCAGAAAGGCCCTCCGGCAGCAAGTTGGACAGCATAAAATACAGGTATCTTATCTGACGTTGGGGCATTCTTTCTGTAGCAGAGTTCTTAACCTCACTATAATTATAGGTCTTCATAGTATTTCATACTTCTGTCACTAATGCTCACCTTGCTCTGTATTCTTCCTTCCCCTTGTCTTTTTTCTCAATTTTCTCTTTTGTCCCCATTTCTTTCCCTCCCTCCCCCACCCTCTCCTTCCCTCCCTCTTTGTCCTTGCTGTCTGTGAAATCAGGACTTCCCTGGGTTAAGTGACGATTATTATGGAGCAAAGAACCTGAGTAAGTCAAACTTACACACCACTAACTCTATTTCTGGCATGAGTGGAGGTGCTGGGGATGGGGGTATAGGGAACGTGGGTGAGGGCAAAGGGTGAGGGGCGGACAGTGTTGAGAGAACTCATACCACAGCAGGAAGAGGAACAAGTGGCTCTGAGTGTCACACTTTTGCTCTGGATCCCTGGTACCCTAATAAAAGCCTGTCACTCATGTCTGCGTTTTCCTTTTGTACCTTGAAGGAGTGGGGAGCCATCTTGGCTCCCCGCCTTAGAAACAAGGTGGGCAAGAAGTACTTCTTCAGGGGTGACCACTCAGCTCATCTAGCCTATTGTTGAGGTGAGGGGTGCCTGCTGGTTGGATTCTTCTCCTAGTGACACAACATTAAAGAATTGGGCTTAGGAATGAGGTGTTTCAGTCTCTCTGAGGGCAAGAGTACTATGGAGCCCTTTACCCAACATGCATCTGGGACATCCCAGCAGGTTCCAGGGGCCTCAGCAAACAGCTGTGGGCTGGCTTTCCATGGAGCATCTCTAAGGGGCTGAGCTGGGGGGCAGGTCTCAGTAGCATTTATGGACCATATATATCTAATGCCTTAGCTTGGGAAAACTCTGACCTCTCCCGTCTGGAAGATAATTCTGGAGTTGAAAATGAAGGAACCTAGATGGCAGGACCTTAGCGTCCGCTCTGTGCACAGAGGGGCGCGTACACACGGCTCTGCCGGGCAGGTTCCGTCCAGGTATACTCTCCTTCAATAAGTAATAAAGTCACGAAGGCAAAGGAGCTTCCTCAGGGGATTGCTCAGGAACTAGCCTTGGGGGCCACCACAGCCAGTCCTTCCTATGGGGGCCACAGCATATCACAGTCTGGAACAGTGTCATCTTGGCTGAAACGAGCAGTGTCTCTGTCCATAGCTTGTTGTATCTGTGTCCCATCTTCATTTGCCTGTTGTCTTGGGAGCAGTGGGCTCTGTTTGGGCCACACTGTGCCTTGTGCCTCCTTTGAGCGTGGCTGCTCTGCCCACACTCAGATGTGGGCAAGTCCTGGTGGTCCGAGGCAGGAGGGTTGCCGTGGCCTCCATATGTTCTTTGTTGTCTCTGTGTTTTGACATGTCTGTCTTCTTGTGGCTGGAGGAGCATCATCCCTCACCATTGAGGCCAAGCTAGGAGGAGGAAACTAGACAGTGGTGGCAGGAGGGCTCTTGGTGCCACCGAATGGTCAGAGCATTGTTACCTGGTAACAGCTCAACTTAGCCAGTGCTTAGCCTCTTATTTCTGGAGCACTGCACAGTTCTGTACACTTCAGGGGCTCTGTCTGGGCAGGAAATTCAAGAGCAACCTGGTCCCTGGACTTCTCTTTGCTGCTGTCCCTGCCTTGCCTTTCCTATTGTTAGCTTTGGGAGATGTGTTTTCAGATAGGATTTGGAAACCACCCAAGTCAGTTCTTTTGATTCAGACGAAGAAGATGCTGCCAAAGAACGGAAGGCTTGTAGTGTCCAGGGAGGGACTTGGCAGACTGAGAGGGCTCTGGGGACAAGTGCAAGATGGTCAGGGGCTCTGGATTGGAGCTGTGCCTCCCAGTTGGTAGCCCGGATGTGGCAGGCCTCTCGTGGCCTGACTTGGTTGGCAGCTCAGAGTCTTGCTCCTGGAGCATTTGAGTTTTGTGCCACGTGTGACCTCTCAGTGGTGTGTTCTGAATCAGAGTCTCTTTCTTGTTGGCTTGCAGAGGGAGTGACATCCAACACCAGTGACAGCGAAAGCAGTTCCAGTAAGTGTGTGTCGCTCTCCCTCATGTCGTGTAGCTCCACCATGTGTCCTGGCCATCATCTTCATTCCGGCATTGCATGGCTGCCGTTTCCGTTCAGAGGCTACTGCTTCTTTTAGTCATGTACACTTTGAGATCCTGGAAATGCTGTGGCCATTTTGTCCTTATGGGGTGGGGTTTGGGCCATGAATTAAAGGAGAGTATAAGCCCCGCACTTCTGGCCAGGACCTGACTGAAAGCTGTCCCTGGGGCCCTGGGAAGGGTGAGCTGCCAGTAAGTCAATCCCTGCCACGGGCCTCATGGGCTATAAATGCTGCCAGTTTTACACATGGGTTTGGAGACCAAAAGGCAAATGGCTCCCATGGGATATTGTCCTGAATAGCCTTTCCAGGTCTCTAGGATTTCCTGGGTTAAGGCTCGGTGTCCTTGTCTTTTTTTTCCTGACTTAAATGATCCAGGAACTGCCTAGTTTTCCTTCAGAGATCCTATGACCAAGCCAGAGAAGCCACAGTTGAAACCCTATGACCTTTGAGAGCACTGGCCTCTTGGGAGCTGTGGCGAGAGGGCCTTGTACAGTCTGCCCACGAGTCTTAGGCTCAGAGGAAGCCCGTGAGCAAGCATCCCAGGGCCTGATGCAGATGTTGCTGCCTTCTCCAGCACTGCCACCAGCCACCTGGGGACCTCTGGGCACCCAGCACCAAGTGGCTTGGTGACTGTTTTAGGAAAAGCTTGTCACTGCTGGATATACCGAGCTCTACCGTGAGGAGAGAACAGGGCTCAGCATTGCTCTAAAGGGCGCTGGGGACCTTAGCCCAGCCTTGAGCCACTTGTCTGGATGTTTGTCCCAGTGTAGGGGGGAGGGAGAGGTAAACCGTTAAAAGGGCAAAGTTAGGCTGCAGCTTTGGGGGCCTGCGTGAGTGCCCTGATTCCCCTGCCTGCAAATTATGGGATGTGGGTAGTGTTTCTCGACCTGTTGAAGCTTCCTCATAATCCTTACCAGAGCAAGAGGGTAACTGAGCACTGAGGGTAACTGTGACCTCTAAGGACAGTTCCTGAGAAATTGGGGTGGGTTTGGGTGGAGGCTTCCTGGCTGGCGGGTCGTGTCCCTTTGGTCAGCTATATTTTGCTGAACAAGAGGACTCCTGATTCCTGTCCCAGGGGTGGTGAAGGGCTTCCCGTCCTTTCTTGTTGGTGGGAAGCAGACAGGCCCACAGGGCAGGTGTTAGCAAGTACTGCCTGACCAGGCTGTTTTCTGGCAGAGGTGGGGGTGGGGTGAATGTTGTAGGGGGACCAGGACACAGGGAGGCAGATTATAAAGTGCTAACATGTCTCCCTGTTTTGTTGCAGAAGGACAAGAGGACGCAATTTTGTCATATGAGCCAGTGACGCGGCAAGAAAGTAAGCCCCCTTCTGAGAGTCTTGCCTTCAAGCTAGTGTCATGGTCGTGGGCCAGCACAGCGGTTGGCCATGTGGGCAGAGGGGAGAGCACGGGTGGAGTATGAAGGCATGGCTCGTTGCACATCCAGCCCCTGGGCACCTCCTTCTCTTCGACAACTTTCTATCATTCATAGAGAAGGGGGAAAGGAAACCCAGTGTGCACCCCTTGCCATACCTTTGTTGCTGCCCCGGGTGCCTTCCAGAAGATAGGGCAGGTTTGCAAAGATGGCAAAAGTCAATTTTGGTGGGCGTGACCGTTGCCAAAAGAAAGGTTCTGGTCCCTCCCTCCAGTGGCTCCTCTGAGAAAACCTTGCCTAGCTGCGGGTGCCCATGCAGAGATTTCTCCTGAATCTGCTGGGAGGGGAGATGTTTCTGACTTCAGACTTGCCTTGGCCTTAGATATTTTCAAATTAAAGGCTCTTTGATGTCTTTGTAGTTAAAAGCTAGAGAATGGGCTGCATACACTCTGCTCTGTCTGACTGGCGGCTCCAGAGCCTAGGTGTTCTAGGCAGACTTGGAGGTAGAATAGGCTGTCTGGTGGGAGGCCTCACTCACTGCCTCCATGCTCTGTCTCTCCAGTTCACTATGCAAGGCCTGTGATCATCCTGGGCCCAATGAAGGACAGAGTGAACGATGACCTGATCTCAGAGTTCCCGCATAAATTTGGATCCTGTGTGCCACGTAAGAGCCCAGGAGGGTTTTGGGAGTGAGGCATCAGTGCCCAGGGAACTATTGCTCTGATGTTTTATGGAAAGGGTCTGGGGCCAGGTTCTAGGGTTCTCTGGGTATAGGGTATATCTAACACTCTGGAAGAGATTAGGTAGCAATAGATCCCCACAAAGCTCATGGGGTTGGGAGGCCTAAGACATCAGTCTGGCCTGCTTCCTTCCTTGGAGAGAAGTTTGAATGGCAATGGTCAGGAAGGATTGGACTAATGGCGGGGGGCGGGCAGCCCGAGTGGTGTTGACATGGCCTGGTGGGCAGCTTGTTAGGTTTGTTGGTTCCCATACCACATTAGGCATCTTCTGCCAGGTTTTGGCCCAGGAAACCCCACCTTTCTGGTCCAGTTTAAGCTAAAGCAAATAGCTCCCTGTGTGTGAGACCTGGTAATTATAAGAGAAGTAGACAAGACAAACTTCTTTTCAGCTGCTTCCCCCCTCACCCCACCACTCATCTGGAAAATACTTGAGTAGCCCCGGGACCCAGGTAGAGAAGAACAGGTCATCTCTTTGGGCCTGGGGTAGGTCATTGTCCTCAACCACACAGCATTTCTTCTCTTCCTTCAGATACTACTCGGCCTCGGCGTGATAATGAGGTGGATGGACAAGACTACCACTTTGTGGTCTCCCGAGAACAAATGGAGAAGGATATTCAGGACAACAAGTTCATCGAAGCAGGCCAATTCAATGATAATCTCTATGGGACCAGCATCCAGTCGGTGCGGGCAGTTGCAGAGAGGGTAAGAGGAGAGGAGATGGCCCTGCTAAATATAACCCTCAAAGGAAAAACAGAAAAGTTCCTGCTGACTCTCTGTTAGGATCCTCCTCCTCCTGGCACAGGGCCAACCAGAGGCGTGTCGGCTCTGTGTGTTCCCAGCCGCTGGAAGGAGGTGGCTGTCTGTCTCCTCCATGCAGCTCACCCCAGCGTGTCCCCCACATGAATAGGGACCCTTCTGCAGATGTGGCCTTTTCTGGGGGTAGGAGAAAAAGATGGAACCTGGGTGCCTCAGGGGTAGAATCTTCTAGGCCTCTCTGGATGGCCCCAGGTTCCTCCTCCTGCCCCCCCCCCCCCAGGCAGACGTTTGGGTTGCCACCCGGTAAGTGCTTGGGACTGGGTAGACAGGGACTGGGTGGGCTGAGAACAAGTCTTTGCCTTTTCAGGGCAAGCACTGCATCTTAGATGTTTCCGGCAATGCAATCAAGAGGCTGCAGCAAGCACAACTTTATCCCATTGCCATTTTCATCAAGCCCAAGTCCATCGAAGCACTTATGTAAGTATTTGCTGAGACTCAGACACTTCCAGCTAGGAGAGGGCCCTAGAAAGGAACAAGAAAATAAACTGTTTTGTTGGGCAGGGGTGAGCCCCAGTGGAAGGTCAAAGGAAAGTCTGTACCCCATCTCTGGTCACTGAAGGCTCCTTCTGATTTGAGTGCCCGTGCATGTATTCCCGGTTGTGCATTTACTTACTTACTTACTATTTATTTATTTATGTATTTATTTATTTAATTTAAAGTTTACTTATTGATTTTGAGAGAGAGGAGAGAGAACACAGGCAAGGGAATGGAAGAGAGAGAGAGATGGAAAGAGAGAGAATCCCAGGCAGGCTCTGCACCATCAGTGCAGAGCCCAACATGGGGCTCAATCCCACGAACCGTGAGCTCGTGACCTGAGCCGAAATCCAGAGCCAGACCCTTAACCGAGTCAGCAACCCAGGCGCCCCATCCTGGTTGTGCTCTTAAACCTGGAAGGTTTGTGGAAGATGTTTAGCTATGGGCCACTGCTGCTCTCAGAGAGCAGCTGAGTAGCTTTTCAAGGAGCCTGGAGCAACCCTTTATGTCAATCAAAACGTAGAATCCAGTTTGTTAACCATTTTTCTTCCGTGTCTGTGGCAGGGAAATGAACCGACGGCAGACATACGAACAAGCAAATAAGATCTATGACAAAGCCATGAAACTGGAGCAGGAGTTTGGAGAATACTTCACAGGTAAGAGTTCCTGCTGCCCGGCTTGGGTAACATGGGACAAGCCAGTCGCCTATTCTGGAAGTGTCTCCAAGAGGCTTAGATACTTGACACAGACTTTCTGGATGCTTTCAAGGTCACACCTTTTGAAAATACTCAGGTGCCTCCCATCCAGCTGGAGGATAATCATTTTTCAGTATCAACCACCACCACCCAGCTGCTTTAGATCATTTTGTTCATCCTATCTTCGTGTCCCTGCCACATCTAAGGCTCCCTGTGTCACTTTGCTTCCTTCCCAACTTGTCCCCTCCCTGATCCAATACTCAGTTTTGCACGTTGTAGGTGCTGAATATATGTTTGTTGATGATGTTGGTTCCTCTGTGTGGTATTCAAGTTGTCTGGCAGCATGTGTGTGTGTGTGTGTACCTGCTCACCTATCCCGGAAGGTCAGTTCCTAAAAGGTTGTGATGGTTTCTGTGTCCCATGTTGCTTACCTTTAAAGGACAGTGCCCTATGTGTGCAGGTTGATGCTAAGTAAACCCCTGCTGGTGGTGCCACCAGGTTAAGTAGGGAAAGTTTGCATGGCCATACTTCTCAGACCTGGGCTTTTGGAGCTCCCTTTACCATTATGTCCCTGTCCTTCCTCATGTGCTGGGCTGGCTCTGGCATGGAGCAGATATGACAGCCCCAGGAGCACTGCCTCTTGCTGAAAACTGTTTCTTTCAGTTTTTTCTTTGGATAACTGAGATTTTCCTAGTCTTCTGCTAAGGCTGTTGAGAATGACCTGCTGCTGGCCTGACGGCAGCCAAGAGCAACATGAGCCACAAGGTCTGGCATCTAATGGATGCTCAGTAAACCTTTTTTAAGCAATACATGTTCCTCTTCGTTGCTGCTTAGTCTCACTGTCTCAGCAAGTTGACATTAAGCCCTGGGCTTGGAGCACCTGCCAGTTTCCCTCGCTGCCCTGGGCTCACAGGCTGGTGAGACTGGCGCCCGCATCCACGTGGGCATCTCTGCTGGACTGAGCTGTAGGGTGGCGGGGTCAGGCTAGATTGCCGGGTTGGGGGGTGCTGTGGAGCACATTAATAATTTTGTTTTCCTCTTCACTGTAGCCATTGTACAGGGTGACTCACTGGAAGAGATTTATAACAAAATCAAACAGATCATTGAGGACCAGTCTGGGCACTACATTTGGGTCCCATCCCCTGAAAAACTCTGAAGAATCCCCACCAAGCACTCTCTTGTGAACAGAAGACATCAAGTCCCTCTTCCCTCCTCCCTCTTCAGTCCTGTCCCCACCAGGAGAACAAATGACTACTGTTCTTGTCCCCTTTTTTAGATATGTCCCAAAAATTGAGTTTTCTAGTCCTGTTCTGTTTTTTTAAATTTTCGTTTGATTTTAGTTTACTTTTTGGGATGATGCCATCTCACTTCATCATGTGACTGTGCCCATTCCTGCATGGACCTTTCCCAAGCGCTAGCGCAGGTGCAAATCCATCAGAGTCATTGTTTTCATAAGAACCAAGCAGAAGCGAAGAGAAGAGAAGAGGACCTGCCAGAAAGATAGGCTCTGGACAGCTGCACGGCTTGTGAGGCGAGCTCAGTGCGCCGCGTGCCGAGATGCCCCGGGCATTTCTGCCTGTCGTGCTGCTGTCACGCGGCGCTGAACAGTGTAACGTATGGTGACAGAAAGTATCTTATTTATATATAGATATATATATGTAATTTATATAAAATATATAGAAATTATTATATATATATATTATACACTCTCATATAATATATATATATTCACTCACATTTGGACTAGAAAATCTATGGAGACTTCATCAATGGTACTGTGTTATTAGAGAAATGCTTTAATTTTCATAATCCAATCAGATGGCATCTTATATCCCAACTGGTTGGGGAGGGATCGAAAGCGGTAGTAAGTGCTGTACCAAGGGCACTCGCATATGGTCATTCTCTTGAAAGTGGAGGTTTGCTCTAGGACTGGTCGTGAGCGGGGCTTGTGCCTGGGGGGGCAAGAGGGTTGGAGACTTGACCCAAAGGCGCTGCTGCCCTCGAGGTGCAGTCAGTCCTGTGTGTGGACAGAGAGAGAATGGCTAACGATGCTCCATATTAAATTGCCTATTGTTTTCTGCCACCTGATGTGTCTGCATGAGAGGTTTCCTTTTTGTTCATTTTTAAGCTGCTGTTAAACCAAAACCATGTTGTGCTACCGTGTCAGCCTTTTCATTATTCCAAATTTTACTTTTACTATTTAAGTGAATGCGTAGAATCCAATTTGACCGTGTTTTAAAGGCTCATGATGTGGAGGAGCCGGGCCTTGTGATAGAATAGGTGACCCGGGCTCTGCCGTCCAGTCAGCAGAGGGGAAGTGGGGGCTGCTGAGAAGTGGGAGCTGGGGCTCTGTGTTGCGATGTGTCCCTTTCTTTACTCATGCACCCGGGACGCACTGGACTCCACTAAGACCCCTTCGTGCCCCCCCCCCAACAGGGACGGGGTGTCACTTGCCTTCCAGTTCTGTGCTGGGATCATGGGACAGCACTGGGCTTGGCCAGCCACGTAACAAGGAGTTTGATTTGGGTTTTGTTCACAGCTGCTTCATATGCCCTACCCTTGCGCCCTCACCGACAGCTGGTAGCTTACTATTTCCTCAAGAAAGTAGACTTTAAGGCTGTCAGTTTGACCTGTAGAGCTGAGAGTCACTCACTGGCGAGACATGAAACCTTGTTGGTTTTCCCCAGAGTCAGAAGGCAGTGACTGTGGTCAAAGGAGTTTTTCCCTGACCACGAGAGCAGGTGGCAGGTGCGGCTCGGGCCCTGCCCCTCCGTGCCCTTTGGAAGCCACCAAGCCTCTCTCGCCCCCACAATGGAGGCATCATGCAGGGGAGGAAGGGGTGGACATGCTTGGCCCCAGGGGTGAGTCTTTTGTTTCCTAGCCCACTGGGTTGTGACCAGTGCAGATGATGCCACGTTGAAGATGCTTTGAGCACCACCAGCCAAACATAGGAAATCTGTTAACAGTCCTCCTACCAGCATAATGAGGCCAACTGTAAAGTGTGGGGTCCAGACCGAGGGTAAAGAAAGGGCAGCAGCTTTACTTGGGCAGTTCACTGGATTGAAGGCAAAGAGGGATAAGGCAATGGCCGATGGTGACTCTGGTGAGGAGGGGGGTGAGCAGGGAGTGTTGATTTCTCCAGTGTTAACTGATGTACTCTGAGTGGTGCTCAACCCTCTGCCCCTCCCAGGGAAGAAAATCAAGATTCAAAGTAAGCATGACACTAGTTGATTTACCAGTGTTCCTTCCAAGGAGACATATATTTTTTAATAAATGATAGTTGCAATGAACTGTGGTTTGGAGACCTTCTTGAAGGAGTGGAAAAGGGAGGGTGGGGGCACAGGGAGGGTGGGAGAAAGGCTCAAACCTCTGGGGTCCTCAGTGACCGTCTGCTGACTAAGTCAGGTTTTCCTCTGGATGGTTCGAGACCCCTGTGGTTGCACCAGTTCCTTTGTGAAGGCTGTACGCTTGGTCTTCTGCCGTAGCCCCCAAATGTTGCCTCAGATAGCACCAGCCAGTGGGGGGCGTGTCCGTATTCTTGGTGGCAAGATGCTGACATTTCCCCCAAAGGTACAAAAGATGTGAGCCGCCTGCTGCAGCAAAGACATTCGGTAGAGAAAGCAGGGGCCAAGCTAGCAGCAGGGAGCTGAGTCATAAATATGGCAAGAAAAACCTGGCCTGCCAGCTCCCAATGTTTCCAGAAAGCACTGAGGGCTCAGGGGAGGCCCCGATGAGCAGGGCAGGTGGCCATCCCCCTGCCGCCTCCTGAAGACAGCAGGAGCACCGAGAGCAGGAATGAGCGACATGGCTGATGGCGTTGCAAGCTTCTGTGGAACAGCCTGAGGAGGCACCACCGTGATTATCGTCAAGAGCAATGACTGACCAGAAGAGCATCCCTGACATGTGGGCTGAACCACACAAAAGGCGATAACCCTTACCTGTTTATGGCACTTTCTAGTTTGCAAGGTGCTTCTTTTGACATGCTCTCTCATTTGCTAGAAGGTAGGCCGACAAAAGAGAGTCCCCAAGTGTTTTGTGAGGGCTTAAGGGAGTCTGGCTCCCAAATGCAAAGGGAACCAAGAACTGGCCTTGTCACCCCACCATGTGAGGTTCAGTCTGTCTTGACAGCAGCTGTTCATCCTAGGGGAGACTCAGCTGAAGAAAATTCAGCCCCAGCGGGAACATACTGAGCAACTTGGAAACCCCCAAAGTATACTACCTCACCAACCCTAAGCTCTGCGGTGACCAGAGGGATAGAGCCCCATCTCCGTGAGGAGTCCGTGCCAGGATCTCTCCCCAGTTCTGCTGCTGACAGACCAGTCACACCTCACTTTCTTTATCTCTAACAGACCTTAAGTGAAAACATTCGTAAGATCATACTCATGACTACAAAAAACATTTGTTCAGAGACACATGACCAACTTTGTCTTAAGGCGAAAGCACTGCTAGAAATTAGCTAGTGAAAGCCAAATCTTTATCCAAAATGTGTGTACAAGTTGTGCTCAAGGGTGAAGCCGATATGGAGGCAGAAGAAAGTGGGAGTCGAGCAGCAGGACTGGAGAGGGCCTGGAGGTCAAGGGTCAAGCAAAAAGTTGGGACTGTAGGGAACCTGGACTCAAGCAGAAAGGCCAGTGCTAAAGGGAATGGAGCCCTTTCCAAGGGACAGTGCTTGCCTGGTGCCAACCCCTGGAAGCCCAAGGTGTCAGAGAACCTTGTAGGAATGAGATGAGCATGTGTTCAGAGAGCCGTTAGCTTTCTCAAGGCAATCCAGTCCAACAAATGAGTGCTGAAGTTGGGGAGTAGTGCACCAAGCCGTCCTGGCCCTGGCGGGATTCATTTAGTCTCCATATTCTCAAGTTCTGTCCTTCATGCCCATTCCTACCTTGGATTTCATGGCTTTGGTTCCATTGATCTTTTTATCCATTTAGTCATTGCCTTGGCACCGCTAGGATATTTTGCCACCACACGATTTTTTTGTATGACTTTTTTTTTTTTTTAGAGAGAGGGTGCAAGCGAATGAGGGGCAGAGAGAGGCAGAAGTGGGGCTCATGCTCACCCGACGTGGGGTTCACACGAACTGTGAGATCATGACCTTAGCCGCAGTCAGATGCTTAACCGACCGAGCCACCCAGGCCCCTACAAATAACTTTCTGAAGCTCAAATTACACATGTGGAAAAACCTCCCCCACCCATCACTTCCAAGAAAGAGCAGAACTGGCTGCCACAACGCCTCTGTCCCTCCTCAGCAAATGGGGTCTTCGTACCACGCGCTCTGCCCGAGAATAGAGGAGCTGCTTTAGCAGTGATGCCCTAGATTTTTCTCTGCAGAGCCGTGCCCCTTGTCACACTATGACACCCACTGGTGGTTTTCATGCTGCAGATGAACTACCTGTGTGTCCGGTCCCTGTCCTGCCACTGGCACTCTAACCGGATGTATCCAGCGTAGTTTGAGGAACTGGAAAAGGGGTGGTTTGAGAACAAGGATTCAGACCCTCCTGGTCACCGTGAAGGGCATGTGCAAGAGGATGTTCTCCTGACCGGCCTTCCTGTCCCCAGAGTCATCCTCCCCGTAGTGGACAGAACCAGCCATATTATGCTCTCCCCTTCCCATGGGGCCCACAGGGAGAAGTTCAAGCCTGAGCATGGCCCTTCTGCCACCAGGCCTTGGCCCTTCTCTCCTGCTTTATCTTTTGCTATGTCCCAATCTGCTCTGACCATGAGTTCCCTGAACACCACAACCCCATGTTTTTGCTCACACTTCTTTTTCTGCGCAGTGTGGCCACCCCATCTTGAAGACTCCTCTTAATGTTTTCAGACTCAAGAGTTACCCTCCTACACTGCCTTTCCTGAAGTACCTCTTCTTCCCTCCCACCTCTTAGGTCAACTTGACTGTCCATTCCTCTGTGCTCCATTAGACCCTCTAAAACCGTTTGTCACTGTAACAGCTGACATTTATTTTGTGTTCCTATGTGACAGGCACTGTACCAAGTGCTTTACACATTGAAAAAACTTTTTAATGTTTATTTTTGAGAGAGAGACCAAGCATGAGAGGGGGAGGAGCGGAGAGAGGGAGACACAGAATCGGAAGCAGGCTCCAGGTTCTGAGCTGTCAGCACAGAGTGTGACACGGGGCTTGAACCCACCAACTGTGAGATC